AAAAAAAAAAAAAAAAAAAAAAACATAAACAAAACTTGAAAAACATAAACAAAAACAATCCTTCACAGGCAAAGCTGCACAGAGCCAGATTTTGCTCTGAAGAAGCGGTAATGTGTTGTAATGGGGTTGTTGGTGTATGGATGTATCTGGTCGCAATGACGTCCAAATGTGTTGTAATGGGGTGTATGGATTAGACTTTGGCTGAGAAATCATTTAGTGAAAGTTATAACCTACAAGTTGGAACTTATAAGCCACATTACAACAGATTTGGACGTCATTGCGACCAGATACATTTAGTTTGAACTATCTTTTGGAACTCGTCTTCCTTTTCAGATTCACTTCCTTCCATGTTCCATGACATAAAACTTTTTTTTTTACCATGAGATAACTTTTGGAACTCCTAAACTCTTTTTTTTCTTTCATTGTGGGGCAAGTTTTTTTTTTTTGGTGGGGAGGGGGGCGGGGGAAGGAAAAAAMAAAAGAAAAAAAAAAAAGGAAAAAAAGGGAAAAAAAAGAGCAGGAAGAGCATCGAGTACAGAAAAAGCATTGGAATTGTCTCCCTTTCTGTAACCATCGACAACCAAATAGAGGGTAGAGCCATCGTAGCTGCATTTGGGCCAACTTTCAGCCTAGATACACAGCAATCATGGACCATCTACTGCAAACACCTAATCGCCTTACGCATCGTGCCGATAAACATAAGAAGGATCGAGCATAAAAGACTGCACAATGCAAAAAGAAGCTTGAACCCTAGATATGAGAACGACCGAAAAATCTCGAGAGAGAGAGAACGCGCGCGTACACGCTCTGGGATGCCCCCATGTCCGCTTGCCTAGGCTGTCTATCCTATTCCTAGGAGCCTGGGCTCTCTCTCTCTCTCTCTCTCTCTCTCTCTCTCTCTCTCTCTCTCTCTCTCTCTCTCTCTCTCCCCGGGCGAAAACGGGAGTTTGATGAAATGCGATAAGGCACATGACTAAACTCATACTGTGGAATTTTTGGCCCCTTTATGTTTGTTACAGGATATGGTGGACATGGAACTGAAGAATATTGCGCTGCAAGAGCGCGTGATAAGGATGGAAAAGAATTTGGATATTGCAAAGGTTGGTTAAACTTGCTTATGAAAGGTCGCAGTCTTTGTCCTTCCTATTGTGGCCGTCGTCTTTAAGCATTGTAACATAATTGTATTTATTACAATTTACAAATCATGACGATGTAATCTTTGTTTTGTAATTGCCGTATTATGATCATCATTTTAGAATCGCCATATGATAACCGCCCTATCATAATCGCCGGCATATTCTAATGATGGTATTATAGTCGCTGTCTTGGCTTACCAGCTGGGCTGCTCGGGTCACCTTGTTTGACCGGGCGGCCTGGGCGTGCAAGGACTAGCAAAGGGCCAAGCAAAAAAAAAAAAAAAAAAAACCGAAAAAAAAAAGTGATGCAAGAAAAAAAAACTGAAGTTACTGAACAGTGAACACCTTTTGCCTCAGGGTCAAATCAAAATTCCTTTTTTTTTTTTTTTTTTTTTTTTTAACAGGGCCTTATGGACCTGGCTCTCAAATCAAAATTCCTTATCAGAGTGGATCTAATTGTTTGTGTTTCTTCGCGATTCGCAGTTATGCTGCTCATTGGGTGTGAATCACTGACGAATCAATGAGCAATACTGCAAATCGCGAAGAAACCCAAACAATCAGATCCACACCGACCATCTATCGGTGAGAAGCATACCCATGCATAAGGGAAACAGATGAGATGTGACGAAAAAGAAGGAGATGAGAAAGAAAGAAAGAAAGGAGGAAGAAAGAAAGACCGTACGCACGTATACAAATTCTCCCGAACGCGACTCGAAATGAAAAAATAACATGAGGCTCAGCCAGCGTGGACCCGATGTTTCGGCTGTCCGCCATACAGCACTCCTCAGGGGTCTTTAGGTCACGGAGATACTTACTGTTCATAGACAGCTACCTTTCTATTTACCTGCTTAGGCCTACAGCTAC